CCCCAAAACCCCAAAACCCCAAAACCCCAGAATACCAGATATAAGATGAAATTTTAGAAATATTTACAAATTTATCTTAAATGAACACTGACCTCAGAAAAACTTTTGATAACAAGAAGCTACTCCAGAGTGATGGAAATGCTGGTACTGCTGAGAAAAGAGAAATGCAGCATCAGAGTACTATGAGTTGTACATATGCTGCAAAGAGACAAGAGAATTTATTGAATAGTGAAAAGAAGATCATCTTGTCCTCCTCAAATTCAAAATCTAGCATAAATTCAAAAAGCGAGAGTGGTGACGAAGAGACCAATCGCAGTAATAGCCCCTCAAAGAATGAAGCTAGCTCAAAACTATCCTTCATTTCCAACGATGCTCGTACAACTGGTACTAAGCTCTCAATCCGCAGGCGCCGCATTGAGAGGAAAACCCAATTCAAGAGCATTGTAGACCAGATCTTCCACGAAGAGTCCGCTCCGGACTCTTCAAAGAAGAAGTTGGAATACTTCTACTCTGCATACAGTGGCTTAACCCTCAACAAGCCGTACATGGAGTTTGAGGACCATTCCAGCTCCAGCGAGAGCCAGAAGGCTCAGGCCAAATGGGCCACGATAATGGAGCATGTGCTGTTAACCGGAGAAACTCGGTTTACCGAGTTTCTCAAAACTGTTAACAAAGAAATGTATATGAAACTGATCGGGTTGGCGAAAAAGTACTGAATGAAGCTACTTCTAAATAATAAATTGGATGGTGGTAAAGATGAAATTTTTAACACTCAGAGTAATCCAGCAACTAAATAGTACCTTAGCTATAAAAGACATTAAGCTACTCAAGCCACTCCTCGAACAAGTCCTATTCTCTAAGGACCCTCAAGCACTCGACTCCAAGACCCAAATCCCCAGAACAGAAATTATCCCTGCTCTTTCGCACATAAAAGGAGCAAGCAACTGCCCTAATTCAATGAAAAAATGCCCCTCCTCTCACTATTCAACTAAAATTGTACCAGAGTATTTCCACCAGAAGCTCATCTCTCAGTCTATAAATCATTTTGTTCTTCAGTCGGGTTCTGCCGACATGTATTTGGCACGAGAAACTCGAAAAATCCCTAAGCGTGCATCTGTGTCTAGATCTTCAGTACAGACCAATGTTGCTAACCCGGTGAGGCCTAAGTTCACGAACCCGTATAAGCTCCTGAACATGAGCATCAAATCTAAGAAGTCTTCTATGGGTTCTTCTTCAGCATCCACCAAAGCCAGTTGGTCTTCAAAGAAGATTCCAAAGACTCGCAAGATTCTTGCAAGAAAGAGCTGCGTAAGGCCCAATATGGATCTGGTTAACCAGATACGTATTAGGCACAGGCGCAGCTGCAACCGACATGAGAGTAGCTATAGCACCTCAGGAGAGCAAGTGCCGCTTATGTTTACTGAGGCTAGAAGAGTACTGAAACTCAGAAAGGACGGACCTGTAGTGAGACTTTCGAAAATTAGAGCCAGAGAAATCATAAAAAACCGAGCAAGAACAGTTTCTAAGCATAGGATCAGTACTTATACTAATTAATATTAATTTTCCTTCTGTCATACCTGTTCATAATTGTTTTATTGGGTATCGAGGTCAATGGTAGAACCAGTCATGCTTAAAGTTCAGACTTTACGACCACACTGGTTCATCTTTCCTTTAGTCAGACCAGAATTCATGAAGTCTTCAACATATTCTTAAGTCAGCGGGGTTTTGGGGTTTTGGGGTTTTGGGGTTTTGGGGTTTTGGGG